CAAGCTGGCAGAGGTGGGGAAAAGTGGCCGGGGGGGTACCTTGAAAAGCGTGGTGCCCGGCTCCCTCCCGGCCAGCGTGAAGCTGTCCACCATGTGGGCCACCCGCGGGTCATCCACACGCATGAAGTCACTGACCAGGTCGGTGACCTCGACCAGCCAGTCGGGCCCCAGCATGGTGACCACCTGCCCCGTGCCCTCCGCCGCCGTGGTGTGGAATTGGGTGAAGACCTGCAGCGTGGCGTGCTGGTACTGCAGGGCACAGCCCCGGCTCTGCTTCCGCTCCTCTTCATCCTCCTCGTGCTCGCTGTCCCGCACCGACCTGCGGGATGGGGCAGTGAGTGGGCAGTGATACCAAGCTCCCCGCTGCCGTGGTAAGGAGAGGGGTGGCTGGGCAGGGTGAAACGCAAGGTCACCAAAAAAATGGTGACTCCTGGCCAAAAGATGCCTGCTGCCCATGAAATCTCTGAAGGCTAGCACTGTGTGCTAACAGGGTTGCCAGTATCTCTGCCCCTTAACCAGCTGAAAGGACAAGATATCTCAGGTTGGGATGGACACCTGGAGGTATCTAGACCTCAAAGCAGGGCTAACTTTGGAGCCTGGCTGCTCCTGGCCTCATCCAGGAAAGTTTTGACCATTGCCAAGGATGGATGTTCCCCACCAGCTCCAGCATTTGACTAACCTCCTTCCTCCTTCCTCCTTCCATACAAACATGCAACCTGCGTTCATGATCTCTCACCTTTTCACTGAGGATCCCTGAGATAACTCCGGCTCCATCATCTTTAAAACCCCCTCATTAAGTAGCTGAACAAGGCAATTAGACCACTACCACCACCTTCACCTTGCCTTCTCCAGGCTGGACACATCTCAAGCACAGCGGCTCCACAGCACCCACCTCCTGTCCGGCAGGATGGGCACCCTCCAGCCCTTCACTTGGCTCAACCGGGCATCCGAGAGCTCGATGTGCAGCGGCAGTTTGGGAACCCACACCGTCATCTCCAGCGGGGCAGAGAGGTGCTCGTAGGTGAAGGTGACCCGGGCGCTCATGGAGCCCCGCGACTCCTTCCCGCTGACAAAGACGTAGTCACAGCTGCTGGAGACCTGGGGGAGAAGGAAGGATGGGGGGGTCGCAACGCTCCTGCAGACACATCAGAGGTCCTGGCAGGAGGCTGCTTGGAGGATGGGAAACACCAAGGGAGCAGAATTTCACCAGGCACATAGCCGGTGACCCAAGAGTGGGGATGCTCTCTCCTCCCCGAGGTCCCTGCTCAGAGGTGTGGACCGACACACACCATGGCCATAAGATGTACTTCCCCCCAACCCAGCTCCCCTGCCAGCCCTTGCAGGCACCTCCATTTGGGGCTTCAGCTTCTTTGACCCCCGGACCAAATTGTACACTGTTACTGCACTTAAGCTAGAGGCACCCACGGGCGCTTCACAAAGGTTGCAAATTGCTCATCCCGGACATTTGCCCCAAAATCTCCTCCGCCCACACCCAGAGGGCACAGGCAGCGGGCACAGACCTCGTCCCTGTCCCTCTTGCTAACCCCAGGAAGAGCTTCCTGGAGTTCGTCTGAATCCTCACATTCATCTTCTCTTTCTCTTTTAAATCCCATTTATGCAAATGCCATTAGTTAAATTTGCTATAAAGCAAATACATCCTGCGGGGGCCACTTATTACCGACCGATCCGAGCCAATTAAGGAGCTAAGAGGATGCCACTGCAGCTTCGCCTGTGTTTCAGCTTAGGCCATCAGAGTCAACAGCATCTTCTCCTTCCCAGCAAGGGTGGGAGGAGACAACCAGGCTGGGGAGACTCCAACCTCTCCTCTGCAGCAGCCCCATGGCCCAACCCTGACCCCCCTTCCCACCCCCTACACCACCAAGAATTGCATCCGAGTTGTTTGCCGCTAGGGAAAAATAAAACCCGTTTGTTCAGCCAGCAGCACGGTCGCTCTCTCGGATGCACCAAGCACCTCAAGAGCACGGAAGGGCTTGTTTCCAACAGGCTGCTCTCCCACCTGGATTCTCTGATGGCTGATAAGGAGCTGAGTCCACGCCGCAGGGCAACTGACATCGGAGGTGACAGCATCACTGTCTCTCTCCCCATCTTATCTTTTGGCACTTGTGCTCATTCAGCTGCAGGAACTTTGTATTTCCAAGCCCACGAGCAGGGCCTGCCTTCTACAAGAGCTCCATGGTTTTGGCTGCAGGAGGACCCCACCGCGAGGCACCCGTGGTCCCCGGGGCTGGGGCAGGAGGCAGAGCCCAGGACCTGGGCTCCTCGGGAAGTCCCCGCTCCCCAGGCACGGGAGGGAAGTGCGATGCAGGACAGTTTGTTCCTTGTCTTCCTATCAGAGATACCAGCTCAGTACGTCTGAAAAGACAATCTCATCTCTGGCAGGGCAGCGTCTGAATAAAGATGAGCTCCTGGGCGAATCCTCCGGCAAAGGAGTGCTCTGGATATTGTGCCATTTATCACAATAAATATGATGGGCTGCTGCTTGCATTACCTTAGCTAATAAATCCCCCTCGGCACCTTCTTCTGGGGACCACTTGCTTTACAACCGGGGGGGGGTTAAAACTACGACAACAAAAAATCCCAGCACATCAGACCTGTCCTGATGATGGAGTGACTGCAGATTAGCTTTTAAATGAAGTGCACGCTTGTTCGGAGAAACTTCCCGGATTCGCAGCAAGGCATCGGGAAGCTCCAAGCCAAGGCACCGCCAGCTCCACTTCTGCAGCCAGGAGCTCCCCCCTTGGCATGGCCTCAAGCGTGGGATCAAGGGGACACATCTTCTCCAAGGCCCTCAGGAGTGGGAAGAGCCACCATGGCTGGTGGCACCCCACGTTGGCCACCCAGGGATCCTGGCAGTAGTTGTGGATGTCCAGTGTCCCCAAGGCTCAGCCCCACTGAGTTGACTTGCTCCTGGTAGGTCCTCAAGCAGATGTAGATGGTGGGCTCCTAAGAAATGTTCACATAGCAGGTGAGGTTGAGCATCTCCCATTGAGCATCGCTGGTGGCAGAGGTGGCTCTTCCACTTCACGTGTGTCCCTCAACACGTATGCAGCCCCCAAGGTTGCCACACAGGCAGGCAAGGGGGATTATTTCTACGCCACCTTGAGTGATGAGGTCCTCCTCTCTGGGCTGAGCACAGGCAGTCACCCTGTGTCACCACAGAAGGGGATGAAGATGACAACTCCCACCCATGCTCTCCCACCATCCTTCACGGGTGGCCCTGGCACCTTCACAGCCGTGTCTACACCAGGACCTGGACATGTTCCCTCCATGTTACACACGAGAGCAACCACCACCGAGCCACAGGCAGCATGGGGAGAAGCAGCTCCCCAGCCCTCCTTCATGTTAAATTATTTACAGTAACAGATAGCACATCCCACTATGTAAGCTTTGATTTATGTAACAGGTTTATAGCCCTGACACCGTAATCATACTCCCCAATCTCAGCAGGTAACTGAGAGCTCCCTCGGAAACGATGCTCCGGCGCAAACACAAAATAACTCAGCAAGAAATTGCATGGGGCTCCGAGCGGCGAGCGGGATGTGAGCTGGGGCCGGAGGGCTGCTCTATGCATTATTCATCCCGGCTCGCGTGCATGTGTCTGCTCCCCCCCAGGTCTGGGGACAGCATGTAAATAGATTTATGAGTAGAAAGGCAGCACATTAAACAGTTTAAGTGTCTTGGAGTCCATCCTGAAGTGTATTATTGCTCCAGTGTTTTATCACGCTGCGGAGGACCGGTCTCCATAAATTAGACCCGGTGATGTAAATCGCACAGATCGGAGTTTTAGTCAAGAACTTGGGTAAACAGTTTGTGACGCTGGCTGTGTCACTGTGTCACTGTCACTGTTTGTGACATCTACCCGTGCACACATGGACCACTGGGGAGAGCAAGTCCCAATGGAGCCGGGGCTGTGCCTGTCACCCCTGGCTCAGCTGGGAGAGCAGCCGGTGGCTGCTGGCAAAGAAGGGGAGAAGGGGCTATGTCCCCAAGCCTGGGGGACATGGGAGAGCCCAGACCCCCACCATGGTTCCCTGCCTCTGCCCGATGCAGCAGGGACATGGGGGGGACTGGTTGGGTGCGTGCAGGGAGAGGGGCGGGAGGTGTTGGGAGAAGGTAATGACGTCTAGGGGTGGAGGGATGTAAAAGGTGATAGAATAATACAGGCAGGTGGATAGATGGATACATACAAGGACAGAAAAATGTATATGGATGAATGGGTCTGGTGATGGAAAAATCATGGCTGGATTTGATGACCAGCTGCTGCCTCGGTGGCTGGGGCGGATACAGGGGCAATCGCTGCTGCTGCAACAGCGAGCCTTTTGCATTCACCTAATCAGCATCTCTCCCATGCAGCCCATCTCGCTCCTCTCCCTCAGTGCCCCTTTTCCCTCCATTGTCCCCAACTGCCCAGCTCATCCTCCCACGCCTCGCTGAGGCCAGCCCCCAGCCCCAGCCTGAGCTCAACCTGGCATCCGATCCAAACGGCAGATAAATGTCACCCAGAGGCACGAGTGAAGCTGCTGATGGAAACGTGCAGCTTACATTGCGAGGCGACAATATTTCACCTTAGAAGCAGTAAGTGTCTCGATAACCCATCGTTACTGCTCCTGCCTGGTGCCAGCCTGCGCAGTGCTGGAGCACCCCATGGCCTCTCCAGGGACAGTGACAAAGTGTCTTGCCCTTCTCTTGACAGATCCCAGGGAGAGGGACACGTGGACTGAAGCCACTGAGGGGATGATGTTTGGGATGGG